TGCTTTTTTCCGGGCCCCCCCCCGTTTTTGTTTTTTTGCCCCCCCTTTCCGGGTTTTTCCCCCCCTGGGCCCCCCCCCCCCCGTCTTTTTTTTTGCGCCCCCCCCTTTTCCCCCCCCTGGTGTCCCCCCCCCCCCCCCCCCGGGTCGTTGCCCCTTCCTTTTCTCCGGGGGGCCCCCCCCCCCCCCCCCCCCCCCCCCCCGAGCAATAAAAACAATCATCACCGCTTCGCCTTCCCCTTGCCCTTGGCACCCGCCCCCCCCTTCTTGGAGCTCCCCTTGCCGCCCTTTTTACTGCTCCCGGCAGGCCTCCCCCTCCTCTTCTTGGCCGGTGGTCCCTCTTCCTCCTCCTCCTCCTCCGCACCGCCGCCGCCACCCTCGCCCTCGAAGGGGACGCATTCCCCTAGCCCCTTCAAGATGGCCTGCGACTTCTCGTTCTCTCTGGTTGGTCCGTGACGGGTCAAGGCAAAGGCCCGGGTGGCGTTAATTCTTAGTCGACGCTCCGGCTACTTAGTTTTTCCGTCGCATCTTCGATTGGGTCGGTGTGCGCATGTGGTAGAACGCTGCGTCTGTGGGAGAGCTGGGAGGGGGAGGCGGGCAGAGTAGCAAGGATCCTATGCATCCACAAGATGTTTCTGCTAAAAATGAAGGCAACAACAACAACAACCGCAACAACAGCCGTTGTAAAGCCACAAAACTCACTCTGCTAGAAGAAGGCTGTGGCCGAGACCCATGGCGACCTGCATCACCGTAAGCCCCTCCAGAGCGTTCACCAGCTTTGGTTTCGTCGACGTGCGAGGCGTGCCGATCTCCTCCCCGTACCTGTTGCAGACAGCGCGCAACCCAACCCGCACGCATCAACATCGAGTATCCGCGCAACGATGATCATGGATGATGATGGTTCGCCACATGCGCAACCGATTAACAACCCGCACTCTGTCATCTTCACATGACAAAAAAATCAGACCAAACACCCGGCATCTCCTCGTCTATTTTGGAGGCCGCCAAAGAGAACGTCCTTGGTTACAGCCTACAGCAGAGGCCCCAAAACAGCACATGAGGACGAGGGTACGCAAGAGGGCTAATCCGCAGAAAGAGCGAGCGAGCCACCACACACGAAGAGAGAGAAGAGGAGGACCGCTCTCACCCGAGCTCTCCCGCCACGCTCGTCCCCCAAGAGATCGTGCTAGTCTCCGCCGCTACCAGGAGAGCCCCGTTGCTGCCGGCCACCGACCGCGTCTGCCAGTTGGACAGGTCTTCTACGATCTTGGGGTACCTTTTTTGTAATCGAGTGCACGGAGGCGAACGGCGGGGGCGGGGGTTGGTCAATATCGATGGTGCGGGACCTAATAAAAAGTTTGGAAAAAAAAACAAATCACGCCGCGGCCTAAACCGATGACGAGACAACACAGCAGTAGCGGCTAGAATGGAACATTGACGGTCACGGAAAAAACGCCAGCGCTATCTGACACGCCAGAGTACCTCCGAACCACGCCGCGTCCTGAACTGACTGACACCTAAGACAACACGGCGGCCAGAAAAAAAAAAAAAAAGGTACACATAAACATGATTTGAGGTTCTCTCCCACCAAAAGCAGACACATCACGACGACAATGTGAAAAGAGGGAATGGTCCTCGCCACTACGGTACCCTGGCGAAGGGAATCTCCAAAACTGCTGAAAAAAGAACGACGCTAACTTGATACCACCCTGTTCGGAAATATAGGTACCATCGGGACAATCACACTATTTAGTATCCAAACGATCCTTAATTTTCCAAACAGTGTGGTATTACGTGTGTTTCGTCCCATTTATTTTGGCGCCAGTCTCCATACCATTCGGTGTAAATGTTAGACTCCAGTGTTTTTTTTTGCTCTCTCACGCATGGTCGCCTCTCACCGTTTCCAAACAGTGTGGTAGTACGCGCGTTCGTCTCATCTATTTTGGCGCCAGTCTCCACACCATTCGGTGTAAATGTTAAGACTCTATTGTTCTTCGTTCTCTCATTTCGCTTCTCTCACATGGTCGCCTCTCCCCGGGGTGCATTGGGCAGCTTCCCCCAGTAGAACAGGTGGCCGTTCTCGGTGATCGCCAGCGAGCACCCGGCGCCGGCGGCCACCTTGGTGACCTTGAGGTGGGTCATGCGGGCGAGCACGTCCACCATGCGGGGCCGAAGCTCTTGGTCCTGGCAGGCGTGCCCGAGTCTCCCGTACCTTCATTCACATCGGCGACGGTTTTTATCCGTCGTGCCAAGCGGAGGCGGAGGAAATAGGAGAACGCAGCAGTGTTGTGCGAGGGAGACGGGGGCAGGAAGGGGTCGGTAGGCCAGGGGGTAGAAGACACACGGAACGAAGAGAGCGAGGGGGAGGAGACGCATCAAATGAAATTGAGAGGGAGATTTCAACAATCGGCCGGGATATCTCGCCGTGCGCGCTCAGGAACCGTCCTTGTAACTACTGCTGCGTCGCGAGGGCACCACCGGCTTCCAGCCTCCATCCTTTTCACGTCGCCACACCACATCAACCTCGATATAATCATCTCATCTACTTCCGACTGTCACATGTAGCGTAATCACCAAACCGCCCCCCCTTGGCTCCATTTCGCGAACAAACTCCATGCACACACACGCTTCCCTTCTCAACCGCACCACTCCGTGCGTCGCTACCTAATAGCTTCTTCGCTCACCCGCCAAAGCCCCACGTGAAGACCCGTGCCCGCGGCCCCTTCTCCACGGCAACCCCGTGGCTCTTCCCGCAGGCGATGTCCGCCAGCTCCACCCCGCGGAACTCCTCTATGGCTTTTGTGCGAGCATCCTTCCCCGCACGGAGGCGTTTTAATACAGGCGATTTAAATTGTTGCAGTACGGAGAAAGCAAGGCGAGCGGGGGAAAGCAGCGCAAGACATGGCGGTATATTTTGTACGGAAAAAACAAGCTTAGCGGGGAAAGCAGTGCGAGACATGGCGATGTAACCGCCCACCAACTACAACGACAACATTAACATTCGCTCCATGCCATCACCATCACGTCCAAGAACAACAACAGAACAGCAACAAACACTGAACAACAACTACTACAACGACAACAACATCCGCACTACGTCATCACCACGTCAATTAACTTAACGCCAACAACAGAAAAACAGCAAGTACTATACAGCAACAACTACTACAACGACAACAACATCCGCACTACGTCATCACCACCACCTCCAACAACAACAACAACAACAACAACATCAAACCACCAGTCCACGTTCCACCCACCTTGGAAAAGAACGTGGGGACCACCGCCGGAGCGAGCACCAGGTCGTACGATATCTTCCCGGCCTTCTCTATGAATTCCCCCGTCGTCCCGCCCCCCAGCTGCCCGTCCTGGGGAGACCCGAACGTCAACAGCCGCCCTCGGTTGTCGATTATCGCCGTGAACTCCGCGCCGCACGCCACCTGAAGACAGGAGGATCAGGAGGCGTTTTGCCGAAAACGAGGGCACGGGGAGTGTGAAGCGGAGTACTGATGTTTTGCATGCCTTCGTGGCTTTGTTGCATGCCAGTTCGTGGTTTGACCATTGACCACGTGTCCTCGAGAGGGGGGACGGGGTGTGTGTGAGAATCGAACATCGGAAGAGACGGGTCCACTACTGCTGTTTGTATTAGGGGGGTGTTGTTGGGATCTCGTTTGAATTTCTTGCAGAATCGGGAGGTGTTTATCTGCTTCACGCACGCAACGTACACAACAGCACCATCACGGTAAGATGAAAACACGAAACCAGCCGGTGTGCGCTGTGAGCGCCTGCGTAGCACTGACTGCTGTGCCAACCGGCTGACCCGCGAAAAAGACGGTAGGCACTCCCTGTTCTACATACCAGGAACAGGACTGAATCACAGCAATGGAAAACGCTTGTCAATAGTGTCCGTCCTACGGGTTCGCATGATACGGAGGCCTCGAAGGATAGAGCAGGTGGAGGCGGACAGCAACCATTTATCTAGCGTGCATCGCACACTACCACCGGACTCTTGAAAGAGTTTCAATCAACACCGACCGCGGCCGTGAATGCGCTGCACGTTGCTTGGTCCATGAGCATGTTTCGACGAAGCACAGCCGTAGCACACGGAAGGACGGCGGAGGGCTAAAAACAAAAACTCTAAATGAAGCAATTGGCGCCCAAAACGAAGGCGTGTTCATGATCGCGAAGGAAAATACCCAAAATATACTGCTGTACGTTGGTTGAGGCGATAGTTAGAGTTCGGCGTCAAACCCGTCGAAACGAGCGGACAAGGAAGACGAAAGACTCTGCTGCCGTGACGCCTTGGGTGCGGGAGGCTCGGTATTGTCGTGTCACGTGTGTGTTGTCCACCGCATCTACAGCAGTAGTGGTCCCTGTTTAGTGCCGGTCGAATAGTGCCGGGTGCCGGTATAGTATCGGTGTTTTCGGCTCGCACACACTGAAATGCCAACTCGTTCTGTACTGTGAACAAAGCCGGTGTCCAGTATAGCGCCGGTCAAAATCTCTGGACACACACTGACACTGTACAGGGCCCACTACTGGATGCCGAACTTCAGTTTCAACACCTTTCGGTGTATTTTTGGCGCACCAGCCGGGGTCACACAGGAACAATGCCACACCAAAAGCGACGAATAAAATCATCCGCCCCTCCTTCTGCGGCCCCAAACTCAAGTAATTCCACCGCACCTTCTCAACAGTCCCGCCTGGCACTTCCACCGCCTTCGGCTCCGTGCAGGACTCCACCGCTCGGCCAAGCCCCAGCTGTCCGAGCTTGCCTCCTCCCATCATGTACAGCGTCCCTTTCAGTCGAGCGACGCAGAAACGAACGCGAGTCATCGAAGGTACATAGGGAGGGGTTGGCTTGGTTTCGCTTGAAGTGAGAGGATGGGAATAGGCATGGACAGGTGCCCGAGGAAAACAAGGACAGACCTCCCAAAGCTACAAAAACAAATATGCTTGGGTGTTTAGTTCGGAGGGTGCCCAAGCACCGGAAAAAAAACTAACAGGTGCCGAATAGCTACGCTCCCGTGGGGGAGGGGGGGGTCCTACTCTGCGCTTTCCGGCATCCGCTCCTGTTCTCAATACAAAAGCGAGGTAGGTGCCGAAAAGTGACTGCGCCCTTGTGCAGATGCGAAAACCATGGAAGCATACCCCACCCCCCGTCACCCCCCAACAAACAGGCCGTGCCAATCATTGAGGCAAAAACCTTCGCGTGTCCTTCTTCCGACACGCAAAGAGACTCGACGTAGTCTGCCTACAATATCTTCCATCGAGACGCGCTTTGGGCATATCATCAATCGCTCACCATTTTCCGCCAAGATGCCTGTGTGCGTCTTCCCGCAGCTGGCCTGCTTCATCCTCGTGCCGCTCAACGCCGCCACGAGGGTCGGGTGGGCTCGCGGAGCGGTGTCCCCGTGCCCCAGGCCCCCGAATTCATTTCGGCCCCACGTGTACACCTGAAAAAAAAAAAAAAAACGGAAGCGAGGGGAGGCGAGTAAAAAGTCACACGGCAGCCGATTTGGTCCCGTGCTGAGAGCGCGAAAAGGACGCAAGCGACAAATGATCGCAGTCTCTCTGTACGCTCCTCTGCTATTCTCGCTGCCTCATTCCTGTCGTATGAAGAATACTTCGGTATTTGGCTCTCGGTGGCAACAATTGTTTCCATTGTTCCCAGCGTACGGTGATTCGGACCCACTTGTCAATGGGATAGCCCATCTATGTCAGTGGGATAAGCCTCCTACTGAGGCATGAGTGTGTCTGCTTTCAAACCGTGTGTCGCAGACATTCCAGAAGTCTCGGCGTGTGGGGGGGGGGGTACGAAGCGTCCTACGGCAATCCCAGATTCCAACTCGGAAAACTTGACACAACCGGCTGTTTTGACGACCATGGATCAAGAGACACCACATTTGGGCAGACACAGCAGCTACTGTAGCGACGAAAATATCAAAGCCAAACACTCCAGAAATCGGAAGCTTGTGAAGACGCCACAGGCAACCAATAACTTCGCAGTATTTTTCGTCTACGTTAGCATGCTGGATGAAGAATGCAATCGGGGAAGTTGGGATAGGGTTGTTCGGGTTAGGGATAGAGTCTGCGTACCCCCTCCCTGTTCTATTTCCTCAAAGCCTTAATTTCTCGCGAAGGCGATACCTAACATAACCAACAAAAACAACAACAGCATCAAATAACAAACAACAACAAACCACAACATCAAGGACTCACCCCTCCCTGTACGTCGATGCACACGCTATGACACGCGGTCGGGCCGGAGGCAACGGACTTGATCTTCTTGGGGAACGACAGCAGTCGCTTGGGGCAAAGGATGTCCCCCTCCGTCGGACGACGACCGAGCGCGGTCCAATCGGTGCCACCGATGAAGAGCACGGTACAAGGAGGCTTTTTTTTTTGTATCGTCAAGTGTCAATGAGACCGCCAAAGAGGAAAAATTCCACCGCAAAATAAAGGAGGAGGGGCGGGGGGGGGGGTATCGTGTAAGGAGGGAGACGAGTGTGCGTGATAGAGAGAACGAGAGAGAGAGAGAGAGACAGAGAGAGAGAGACAGAGAGAGAGGCGGAGGAGGAGGACGGCTCAACAACAACAACAACAACAACAACAACAGGAAAACTATTGACCTGTGGTCGAGCGGAATTCTGAGAGGCCCAGAGACGCTGCCCGCTCCAACCATCGTGGCAAGGATACACGATAGCCCCTCACTAGATGAGCTACCCGAGGTGCGCCAGTCACACCGACTGCGCCCTGTCGCCACCGATTCAACATGCCGATCAAAAACACGACCTAAGAGCGACAACGCACAGGAGAATGACGAAGCACCAGCAGTTCCAAACCAGCAAACACGTTGCTGAATTCCTTCCCATTCCAAGAAAACACACCGGCACGCCGCAACCCTCACCAGGACATGATGCGCCCAACTAGGGCAGAAACAGCAACGACGGCGAGTCAAAAAACGCTTCTTCTATCTCCATCTCACCATCTCCTCCTCCTTCTTTTTCGCCGAAGGTTTAGCTGTAACCGCCGACGAAGCGGCACCGGATCCCGCCGCCGCCGCCCCTTCCCCTTCCGCGCCGCCGTTCTGCTCGCGCATGAACTTCGAGAAAGGGTCGTCGTTCTGAAGTTGCGCCGCGTTTTATTGTCGTCGTGGCGGACAGTGGATCGGGGATACCCAAAAGCGTGTGATCGATCAGTTGAACTTTCTCACGAACCACGTGAAATGAACCAGAGAAGAGGAATGGTGTGTATGTATCCATAGCCAGGGATACTTCAAGGGTTTAAAAGTGTAACTTGAACGAGTTGCTGCTGCTGTTGCCCCGCAACGTCGGGCTAACTACGCCTGCTGCTTTGGTTTGCACGGCTGCATTTCGAGGAAGAGAAACAAACACAATCTCCTTATACTGGGTGTACCTGTCTTTGAACTAGGGTAAACTGGGGATTGCGGCGAGCTTGCATACAGAGTACTGACCCATAGTACGTACTTCGTATGTACAACTACGTAAGCACGTGAAACGGAACATTACGCACCCTTCGCGACGTCGAGACCAGAAAACAACGCCACACCCAGGAGGGAGGGAGACTTGCCGCATCGGAGCGTCAAAAACATGGCCTTCCTTTTTCGACCATAGCAGTATAATAGCACAAACCGACCTATGCATACCTCGGGACTTGCAGAAGCGGCAGCGGCGGGGGCGGCGGCGGCGGCGGCGGCGGCCGGCGGGGTCTCCTCCTCCTCGTCTATTTCGCCGTTGGCGGCCCTCTCTTGCTTCTCGAGCATCGCAGCCACCTGCCTCGGGGGCCGCCCGACACACAGCAACCGAACGCCGTTGTTTTTTGTGATTTGTCTGTTCGCTGATGCGCACGCAAGCACTATTGTAGAGGTTCAACTGCTGCGTGGGGACCGTGGTTGGGGAGACTGATGCGATCCCTCCGCATGCAGCCATTGCGACCTACATACACACGTGTACCCGGTTGGCAAATATACCAGTTACTGCATAGGTAAGATATTGTAGGTTGCTGCTTTGGAAAACGCCCTCGAATTTAAAATGGCGTAGGTAGGCCCGGGTGTTGTAGTTATTGCACGAGTCGTCACCCGGGTTTGTCAGCATGATACTGCTGTTGCAAGTACGTGGGGCAGTCTTGCCACCTGTTGCTACATATTTTGTTTTTGTAGTACTGCCGTGGTATTTGTAAAACCAAACAGATTAGTCAACTTTCTGACGAAGGGCCAGACAAGAGGCATAAAAAAATAACTCCCTGGTTCCTGTGGCTCGGCGACTAAATAAAAAACAGAGATGGTTACGAAAATGCGGAACCTTTTCTAAACTTTGCGGCATATCTATGTACATGTATGCACACGGCTCGACACTACACACCGTCGTCCTCTGAGGTTATAATAGTCACTACGTTGGAGGATAAAAAAAGGCGGCAACCGTGGCCAATACCCCGGAGAAGTTCGATGAACCCTCGTACCTACCCCGCTCTTGCTTGTGCTAAGAGCGGGATCCTTAAAACACGCCTCGGTGAGAGGGCGCAGAGATCAACACACCACGATCTATCCTGTCTTTTCCGTTCAGGCATGTCAGGCCCTACGCGCAATTTCAAGAAGATCCTCTGCTGTTGTGTTGCACATGAGCAGATTCAAAAAACTTACAGCAGTGGTGACTACCCGAACACTCTGCTATTGTTGGTCAGTCAGCGCGCGAGGCTCTGCCAACCAGCGCGAGAGGAAAAACGAGATGACTGTTTGGTGATGCAGGAATAGGAACGCTTCGCGAGTAAGGTACAAAGAGGTAGGGAGCGGTTACACGTGGCGAAGTCACGCCTCTGATTGAACGGACTGCGGTACCGCCGTTAGGACACCCCGAACTGAAACATTCGCAGCACAGCAGCAGCAGTAGCGGCGGCGGGTGGTGGGGGTCACAAGAAGAGCAGAAGAAAAAAAATCACCGCGTCATTGGTTGGTACGATTCGTTCGATCTACCTCGGATCGACGGTAGACGGCGGTCTCAGGAAAGCCGCGAGGCGTGCGCTTACTGTGTGTGTGTCTCTGTGTCTCTCTCTCGTGCATACCTGATGGATGTTGATCCCAAGAACGCGAGACATTTTCTTCATCTTTTTGAGACGCTCGGCTTCCGCGTCCTTTGGCATCTTGCTGCTGCTTTTGTTGATCGTGTGTTGTTGGGCAACACAAACACGAGCCTTGATCGCGTTCGAAAAAAACGAGGCTGCTGTTGTCGTCGGCAGGGATGCTTGTAGCTTTGTGCACGGGTGTTGATGGCCCTGTGGGTTGCGCACTATGTTGCCAATAACGCGGTGTGTCTGGCCTTCTCTACAACGAAGGCAAAGATGTTTGTTTTTGGTTCGTTTTGTGTTCGATCTCGTCTTTTAACTACGGAGCCCCGTACCTTCCCCGTTCCGGGGGGCACGCAAATGTATATGATCCAAGCAAATGCCAGCGAGAGATGCAGCGGACATTGGACACTTGGGTCGCCCAGAGGTCTCTCACGGCACACATGACGCTTTTTTTCCACGCCACCCTCCCGTCATTGCAGCTGGTAGGGCTGCTCCTTCTTTCGCGCAATCACCGGCGTGTCCAGGCCTTTCGCGCCGGAAGCAGCTCCTCGAGTTTTATTAGGCAAGCCCAGCAGGAACAACATGCTTCGTTTCGTGCGTAGATTCCGTAGTGTGACAAACCTTGGGCACTACTTGGTATGATGACGTGTCACGGGTCACCCTGCTGATCATGTCGCCTGATACGTACTAGCATCTCAGCGTGAGCGCTTTTTATCAGCAGGGGCTGTGGCGGTACTGGGTATACAGATGCAATTATGGCTCTCACAACCAGGTATCGATGGTAATTTCTGCTTATGTCTACGACGGAAGCAAATACATCATTGAGCAGCTCTCTGAATCATCACCAAAACTCATTGACTGCAGCAGCAATCCGTCGCGCGGCATATCTGCTGGAGTCCTCCAAGACGGTGTTTGTGTGTGTTGCTGGTTTGTGCTTTCTTGGTGTGTATAATTACTTCAAAGATAGACGTAGACAGGTGTCGACGCTTGATGCCGAAAAAAACGCCGAAGAAGTGTACTACAGGTACGATGGTACCAAGTAATAGATACCGGTTTCCCTCCATTCACTGCAAAGACTAAGACTCCAACACGTCCCGTTCGACTGTGGTTATATCTCTAATGGGTATTCTCTTCGTGCACCATGTCCTAATACTTGTAACCCATTTTTTCTGTCTGCTTGTGCAACGGAGGTCAACATGATTAACAGTCGATGTACATGCTGCAATTATGCCGGAATGTTGTGACAGACACTGCTGATGTACCGCGTAGGAGTGAGATTTTGAAAGCTAACGCTAATCTAACTACGAAGTTGGCGACGTTGGGACCTGCTCGTCGAGAGCTTTCCGAAAACAAACAAAGAAATCGGTCGACTTCCGCATTCTCTTAGTGGGTCGTGGGAGTACTGCTGTAGTATTTGAGCTGTGAAAATCGATGCAGGGGGTGTGATATCTCATGTCACCCACTACGAATTTGCAATGTCTTCCTGAGGAGGAAGAATTTGTCCGAGTCTCGCACGGAAGGGCAGGTTCTTCAAACAGCACACCCCTGCGTCTGTCCTACACTACAGGAGTGGTGGGGTATCTTATCCGTAGGCGTTTGGGTTCCAAGCGGAGTCACCCAAGACACGTCCCACATTTGCTGTCCTTATTGCAAATTGGGACATCTAACCGGGCTAAGAAATCAAAATCCTAAAAATCGACTTTTAAGAAGTCTGTCGCACATTTGCAATATTTCAACGCTGTCTTCTTCAAATCCAAATGCAGTCTGAAACGCGTTCAAAAATGCAATCAGGCTGCTCCTTAACCGGGAGGGTGTCGGTGCCGAAAAAGGGTGGTCTTGGAAAGAGCTTTCCTTAGACCTATCGGTTGGGTGTCGATAGTATCTTCTTTGTTGTGGAGCAATCGAGCTCTTGGTCCTCAGTCTGGGGGGTGCGCGATGACTCGCACCTCGCAACGGTATCGCCACCTCACGCATATCGTACCATCAGTACCCTCCACCTTTGTTTCGCGCGGGGTAGTATTGGGGCAGCCTATTTCAAAGGCGTTTACTGGCAACGTGTGCACCCCCCCCCCCCCGCCGATTCCTTCCCGCCTCTACATCGTATGCATACGATCTCACTTACTAGCACAAACACATTTTCAAGTGAACACCAACGCTTCGCCGGCTAAGTTCGGCCGAACTGTGGTCGTCTCTGCCCGATCCCCCCTCATCTACTAGCGCGATCGGCATTCCAAGCAAATCGCCAACATTTCACTGGCTAACGAACCCGCTATGCTCTCTACCTCTCTCGCCGACCCTGTTGTACTTCCCAACCCCGAACCAACGTACGCATTGCACAACAGCAGAACGGGCCGAAGCCTCCCTCCTACGTCTACAACCGGGGGAGGCACCCGCGGCAGCACGCTGGCGGCCTCCTTCAACCCGTTCGCCGGCCTCGGCAAGAGCGTGAACAGCATGCTCGCGGGGGCGACGGGGTCGGTGCCCGCCGACTTCGAGGACAAGGCTCCCTCGTGGGAGGTGCGTATGCCCTCCGTCAGCTACTGCTGCTGCTGCTGCTGCTGCTGCTTCGCACCGTATGTTCTTTGTTTTTGTTGTTTTTGAGAGGTTGGACATGCGGGCGGCTAGTGCCCCATCAGGAAGAAGCTGCTGCGCACCGTTGTATTGCTTTTTTTTTTTTAATGGGACACGTGAGAGGTGGGTGTGTCCTCCGTCAGCTATATACTGTTGCTGCGGCTGCGCACAGCAGTGGTTTAATTTTTTTCAGAGAGAGACGTGGGACACGGGTGCACGCCCTGATAGACCGCCTTCCCGAGGGTGTGTTAGAGAGGGGAGGTTCGTATCCCTACCCCCAACCCGTACCTAAAACCAAGCTCAACATCCTGGCGAAGGATTCTGGAGGAAGAAGCTGCTGCTGCTGCTGCTGCTGCTGCTGCGTACCGTTTTTTTTTTTTCTGGAGAGAGAGAAGAGGCGGAACACGCCCCGCTGGGTGCGTGTCCTGATGCTGCTAAGGACCTGTGATACGCTTGGCTCTGTTTTTATAGAGTGTGGGGCGTGTACCTGTGCACAATGGGTAGGGTTGTTGCATCTTTGCAGCGCCCCCGCTTGGTGCTGCTGCAAGAGGGTCGCTTGTTGGTAGTCGCCTCGACTTCTCGGGACGACGAAGTATAAAGCATAAAGCATGCGGTTCAAACAAACGATCCTTATCTGCCTGCTGTACTGGCGGTATACCTTGCACCTTTCATTACTTTTGAGGGCCCCGGGGGAAAGCTTGGGACCAGAGGCCCCCGGTGAACCAGACACGCTTTCACACCGCACAAAAACAAACTCAAGAGAAACCAGCGTAGCGAACGACCAGAACAAGCTGTCAACAACAAAGAGTCCGCCGCGTGTGGACTATTCCGCTGCGCGTCCGCTTCGCTCGAAACGCGCGAAAACGCAGAGGCTGGAGGCGATGTTGGAGGAGCGCCAGACGCCGGAGGAGAGGGAGGCGGTGGCGTTACGGGAGCGAGGGTACGGGCCCACCAGCGCCCTCGCCAACCTTCGCCTCTTCGATGCCCCGGAGGGGACAGGTATGTATACGCTGGCGACCATTTTGTGTGGCGTTTTTTTGGTAGGCTGCCCGGATGTGTACGTGTGCGTGTGCGCGTGCGTGTTTATGTGAGCGCCTCGCATGTGCATTTAGAGCACTCGACAACCTTCGCCTCTTCCATGTCCCGAGGGGACAGGTGTGTGCACTCAGTTCTTGTGTGTGTATTTTGTAGTTGCCCGAGGTGGCGTGTGCGTGTTTCATTTGAGGGCCCCGCATGCGTACTACGAGTAAGTCTGCACGCCAATCGTCGAGACGTGGCCCGAAGGGGGGGGCTCGAAACGTCGAAACCGTTGTACACAAAGTCGCTGCGGGGCTACTCAGAGGAGGGCTATACTTTTATGGTATGTGGTGCGAGTGAAGGGCCTCTTTCGGGAACATGAACCCGCTGGACGCCAACTCAAAATGATGACATTCCGAGGGATTTCCTTTTTTCTTTTCTTTTTTTTGGGGGGGGGTCACAATAGAGTTTTTTTACGGTGTACCGGGTATGCGCGTTGCTTGCGTCGGCCGGCTTGTGGCAAAGCGACATCTGTCAGGAGGTTTGTTGGTCCGTCAGCGTGAGGAATCCTGGGAGTCTGGTTTTGTGTGTTCTTGTTGTGCCGCTCCTCAAAAGCGCTGTTCTTGTGCTCGTGCGCGCGTCGTGTTCGTTGGCCTGGAGTACGGTACGGTACCCCGCCATGTCCTCGCGGTGATGGGGGCGTGCCCGCTTTGTCCTTTTAATGGTTGTTTTCTTTTTCGTCGTCCTTGCTGGGTCATTCATGCACGTTTTTTTTTTTCATGTCCTCCATGGGGCATGCATGCATGCATGCATCTTCTAATCATGTCCGCCCTCCTAACGAGCACGCACGCACGCATGCAGTGACACATGCTTACGCCCACCTCAATAACCCCTTCGGCTTAAGCAGTACAGCAGGCACTCACGGTGCACCCCCCTTTGGTTGTCCTCCGTGCTGCTGGTGCCCCCCTTATCTCCGTTTTTCGGTGCAAAGAACCTCGAGTCACCCTCTACCGGGATCACGCGGGTTGGTGTCCCTACTGCGAAAAAGTCTGGCTCCTGCTCGAGGAGAAACGAATTCCTTACAGGGTGAAAAAGGCAAGAAGGAATTGACCAAGGAACGAAACAAAAACAGGGGTAAAGCGGTATGTAGGAAGAAAAGAAATGATGCAGCCCGAGATCGGAATGTGAAAACTGAACCGCAGGAGACTCCCGTCATTATTGATCGGAGGTAGTACTCGATGGCTCATTGCGAGGGAGTACATCCCGCTTTAGAGGGGCATCACCCCCTTTGAATGGACCCGTGGTTTGACTATCCGATTCACTTCTGTAATTGAGCACGTCACGCCCCGCCCCCGCTCCCAGCGTTGTATTTTTGTTGACCATAATGGAAATTAAGCACCTCGTGTGCCCCCTCCCCCCCCCCCCCCCCGGTGTTGTGA